GAAGCTGCCAGCTTTTGCCTTTCCCCTGGCAAAGCGCATGAAGCTGCAGTTGATCTACAGCTCTACTTGGAATTCTTTTAGCATTGCTTACCTCAGTTGCTTATGTGCCATTTCTGGGCTCTTAGTCCCGTTCCCATCTTGTTCCTTCCATCATGAGACTTGCCTAGGAAAAGGGGAGATCAGAGCCAAAAGGACAGTGTATGGAGATACCAGGAAGCAAGTCATGTTAGAATACTGGCTGACCTGGCTTCACCCGTCCTGCTCCAAGGCCAGGCTTTCCCTCTTGGCTCTCAAGAACAGGGGTGGCAAGTGACACCTAAAGACTGTCACTTCTCCACACCCTCCTAAGTTAGTTCCAGAGCAAAAGTGCCTATGTTGCTGAAATGACAGTTTCTTGTCGTGGATTTTACATCTCCTCCTGCTGCCATTCCTCCTCTGCCTGCACCAGTGTGTCACAAGAGAGAGGAATTTGCTAGTACAGGATACTGCCAGTATTCTCTTGCCAGTTTTAGTACCCAGCTCAGCACACTCCTGAAGTTTTTACCAATCCTGCAACAGTGGAACTTGCACATACTGGTATTGCTCTTGGACTGGCAGCTGAGGAAATATGAGTGTAGTCTGTGCCCACAGACTGGTATGCACTTACTCAGGTCAGAGCACTCTGTGCCTGTAGTAGCTGAGAGGCCCAATACTCCAAGTCACTTTCAATCACTGGCACGCTATGTGAAGGATTTGAGACCACACTGTGACATAGCAGCATAAAGTAATCATATCTGCCTTCCTCATGGGAGCAGGGTGTGACCATGCTTCATTTCAGTGTCTGGCAGCTCTCCCTGAGTTGTGTAATGCTGCTGGCACATTTGAAAATATACACAGGACTAAGAAAATGTCAGATAAATTGGGTCTTATTTGCATAGTAAAAGCAGGCCCCTCAATTTCCAAAAGGATTGAAGAACAGGGGCCTCATTGCTGTAATCCAGACACTTTGACCATTTGCACAGGATCCTGTTGATCAAAATGCTCTTCCTCCAGCTTTTGTAGACATGACAGATGGCAGAGGGGTAGAGAGAGCCGTGAGTTCATGCTGTGTGATGTCTTCCAATCAGAGGAACTACAGGGTCCCACTTTTTTTCAGGGTGACATTAACAGTGTTTCCTAGTGACCCACAGATCATGAGCAAGTGGATTGGTGTACTCCATGTTAGTGATCCTGCAACATTAGACATAGAAGCCCCAATACAAAACTATATGTAATCGGGATATTTTTATTTTAGCTTAAATGTCTAGAAGTTCGCCTGTGGCAAGAAACCTGCTGGTGTTGAGTACAGCTCTTATCGAATCTTCTGACTATATCAGGAAATGGTTAGTCTGTCTGAGCCACTCTCCCTCATTGAGCTAAGTGGGAAGACCACAAATTCTTACACAGATATTTTCATTGTGTTTAACTTTTAATGGAACTTGCATTATTTCTGGGTTTTGGGTTTTTTTTTTTTCCATGTGTCTGTTTCTGTTCTTATTTCTGTTTCTTTACATGGATTACTAAGAGAAAAGAAGCAAGATCCATGCAGAAGCATTACTCAAAATTTCGGATGTGTGCAGTGCTAGTCCCTCTATAAAAGATGGCTATCCTACCCAAAATAATTTTAATTGCTTTAATTTATTCACTTAACAAACCTTTACAGAATGCTTCTTTGTGCTTAGCAGTGTTCTGGGTACTTGAAGATACAGAAACAGAGGATCAAAAGCTAATCCCTACCTTCAAAGAATTTATGCCTTCCCCTTCCACTGTTTCATAAAATTTTATCTATGCTATTAGTTGTTTATTACACTGTAGGACTTGTTTTCAGTGATTTGGAAGATTGTCTTTTCTTGGCTTGGTGAAATGTGATGTCCTGTTTTCTGCAAAGATTCAGATTTTTTTTTTTTTTTTGTATTTTGTTAGAAGGATAGTTTCAAATGAAAGTTCTTGTTGGTTTTAGGTTTTAAAGATACAAGTATAAATCTTTTCTGTGTGTATATCAGGATTTTTCCATGATGACACCAATAATATTGGGGCCAGGGAATTACTTATTGCAGGAGGTTGTTCAGTGCTATGTATGATGCTTAGCAACATCCCTGACCTGTTCCTGCTAGATGAGAAAGTACCCCTCTTCCCTGAGTTTTGGCAGCTGAAAATGTCTTCAGATATTTCCCAATATGTCTCTTGGTAGATAGGGGCTGGCAAAGTTGCCCCCAGCTGGGAGCCACTGATGAAACTGTGATCCTAGGCTCACACCCTCTGCTTAAGCAGGTCAGTGCAGTTCCCAAGAAAAAAAGCACTTGGAGAGCTAGAGAGATGGCTCAGGGGTTTAAGAGTACTGGCTGCTCTTGCAAGAGGATCCAGATTTGGCTCTTAGCATCCACATGGTGGCTAACAACCATTGGTAAAACACCAGTTCCAGGAGACCCAGGGCTCTCTCCTGACCTTTTTGGGCAGTTCCAAGGAATCCTATGCCCTCTCCTGGCCTTTGCAGGCACTGCATTGCACATGGTGCACTTAGATGCATGCAAGCAAAACATTCATACACATAAATATGTTTTTCCAGTTTTATAATGTTGAGTCTCAGAAGTCAGTTCTCATCCACATTGACTGTCTGTAGATTTTTGAATGTGGTGACAGGGACACAGGAGACCAAGGTGTACAGCGTGTTTGGAGAATCCTCATCCTCATTACGTTTTCTGGACACATGAACTAGGATACGATACGGAGCGTTCCTTATTCCTTGGCCCAGACAGCTTGGTTGAGCCCAGTATCAATGCGCACATCTGGAGTACTCATCTCCCTCAGGGCAAATATCTGGCTTTCTTTGAGTGCCCAAAGGGCACGTTTCTTGAAGCCCACACCATGGATGAGCTTGTGAATGTTGATGGTGAATTCCTGGGTCATCACCTTGTTGATGGCAGAACAGCCCTTCTTCTCGCCACCCTTCTTTGCAGGAGCCATCCTGCCAGCCCCAAGTTGGAAAGCATAAAAAAAAAAATTTTAAGTACTTGGAGCAAGTGTTTCTGTCTGGCTTCTGCAGAAACTCAAAGCTACTTCCTACCTTGGAAGAGTTAATATAAAGTAAATAAGATATTTATCAGTGCAGTGAAGCAATATCAGCAACAAATGATGAAACCCTCTCAGTAAATCATGCCTTGGAGATACTTTATATTTCCTGTTGGAAAGTTGTTAAAATCATTCATTTACCGTAAGCTGGAGAGCATGTTGGACACGGTATTCTGTAAATTAATCTCGAGTGATTTATGAGGAAATGGATTCCAGACTTGATGATCTCAAGTAGTAGGCGGCTCTTCTTATGAACATTCTCATTCTGAAGAACACACATTCAATTCAGTAAGTATTGAACTGTGCAATGGGAATGAACTTTAGAATGTCTGACCCTGCTTCCTGGCCCAGGGGACCACAGTGCTGAGAGTGTCTCTGGGACTCTCCCCTGCCACATGTGGCAGCTCTGACCTTGGTGTACAAGATAAAATAGAAACACAGGCATTGCACTTCATGACCTCAGATTTCTTCCTGTCCTATGCCAGCACTGCCCTCCCCAGTGAGTACATGTTATTACACATGATGTCATCTGTTTCTTATTTGACTCTTTGGTCCCAAATGAGCTGCTTTTCAGAGTTTTGGCAGGGATCCTTACCGCAAGTTATACCTACCCCCATCCACTTGTGGTCCAAAATGGGGACATTTAACTACCTTACTGTGTGTTTCTGAGTCTTTACTTCTCATATACATGCCAGTGAATTAGAAAGTACAGGGGGCGCTACTAATAAAAGTCACCGGGAAAAGAGTTGGGCTTGGTGCATAGAAAAAAAGAGAGAAACAATGGGCTACAGAATTTTCACTCATTCAGTTGTTGAGCAACTGTTATGTGCTAGGCACTGGCCATAGAGCTGTGAGGAAATGGACTTGAGTCCACTGGGCAATGGGGCAAGTGTACAAGCCACGTTTCAGTATGGCACAGAGGGAACATGATGAAGGAACACAGATGCTGTGGGAGAGAATAAGAAAGGCACCATCCCAGCTTGTGGGAAGTGGGGTCTGAGAAGGCTTTGCAAAAGAAGTGGTATCTCAATTGGGACATGAGGATTCATTACATGCCAAGGCTAGATCTCCCAGCTTGAAGGCAAGCAGCTGAAAAGTTGGGCCTGTGTGAAGCGGGAAGAGTGGAACGAAGACAGGGAGCCCCAGTAATGTGTCTTGGGATCATGAACAGCTGGGCTTTTGGGGATTCACTGTGACGCAGAGCCTGGTGAGAAGTAGGCTTGAGGAGGCTGGAGTAACAGTGACTCAACTTCTTCCACCACTAACTCCAGAGCAGAGGAATGCTTTTTCAGCATGATTTTAAGGCTGTCAAGTGCTGCTGGAAATTGAAATGTTAATTAGCAGCTTTAAATGCTGTTGTTTCTGGAGGCTATCATGACATCCTGCAGATACATTCAGGCCTCTTTGCTTCTGCTAGTTTTTCATTTCATAACTTTTCTTCATTTTAATATTTATCATCATTTTTGTGTCTGAAGCATGAGTACTCATGAGTGGAGACACGTGGTGAGGAGTTTAGGGTCTATATCTCGGCTTTTCCAGCTCTCTGGGTCCTCCTTATGAGATTTCCTTTGCCATAGTGGAAACTTTTGCTCTAGTGTTGCATATACTCACTCTATAGCACACATACTAGTTTTGAAAAGCATAAGATGTACTGGTGATCTGTCTTTCAGAAGGTGTGTGATAATGTAGAATTGTATGGCGCGCAGGCCTCATTTGAGAAAACTGCACCTGATGGTCACTGTTCTATGTGATCATGCCATCGTCCAGAGTATGTGAGAACCTGAGACGCCTCCTAACCCTCAGACCATACCACTGCTTCACGTTACCTGTCAGCCTGATAGAGTGCTCTTCTTTAGTAGTGACGCAACTAGGAAGCATCCCAGTTCATGTACCTCTTTTTCTGTTTCTGGCAGGAATTTAGATAATGGGCTGTGTGCAATGTAAGGATAAAGAAGCAACGAAACTCACAGAGGAGAGGGATGGCAGCCTGAACCAGAGCTCCGGGTACCGCTATGGCACAGATCCCACTCCTCAGCACTACCCCAGCTTTGGTGTGACCTCCATCCCAAACTACAACAACTTCCACGCAGCCGGAGGCCAGGGGCTCACAGTCTTTGGGGGTGTGAACTCTTCTTCTCACACTGGGACCTTGCGTACAAGAGGAGGAACAGGTAAGCCACCAATAGTTAAGAGTGCTGAGGGTGAAGCTGTGTTCTTTTAAAATTATTGAACGTGTGAATGGTGTGTGTGTGTGTGTGTGTGTGTGTGTGTGTGTGTGTGTGTATACCGCAGCAGGTGTGTATGTCTGTAGAGGTCATAGGACATCTTTGGGGAGTCAGTTTTCTCCTTCCATTATGGGTTACAGGGATCGAACTTATTTTATCAGGCTTACACAAGTCCCTTTACCCACTGAGCCATCTTGTTGGTGCTGCAGCTGTGCTCTTAATTATTTTGGCAATTGAACATTTGTGTTCCAGATGACTCACGTTGACTGAGTTGAAGTTTCTAGTCAGCTTCACCTATCATCTACCAGATGAAGGGCCATTCAAAACAAAAAGCCCAAGTTGGATGTCCAAATAAAAATGATTGGCTTTGGGGTTGTAGTTGCTGCACTTTGAGAATTCTGCATGGGCTAGCACACTACAGCATTCTGCCAGGCACTGTAAGACAAGGGCTCCCAACTCTGGCTGACCGCACCAATAACTAGGGCAGCTTCTTCACAACACAACTGCCAGAGCTCCAGGGCTCGCTCTGAAGCTGTGCACTTTGAACTATCTAATGCCCTCGTTCCCTCCCTCACTTCTAGGGGTAACTGCTCTCCCCTTTTCTCCTGCTCTTCAGCCTCTCAATTACTTCCTGGCAAGTGGGGTCATTTGGTAGCATCCTATCTTGACCATTATCTCTAGTTCTGTGGTATTTCTGTTGTCAACCATATTGGTTGACTTTTTTATCCCAAAACCTTTTCATGTATTTTTCTATTTTCCTCTTTTCTATTCTCTGTGTGTGTTTGTTTTCCTTCCATTTTTGTGTGTGCTTTTATTCTGAGACAGGATCTCACTATGTAGCCCACACCGACCTCAAACTATTGAGAATCATCCTGCCTTAGCCTTCTGAGTGCTGGGATTATAGGCATGAGATATCATACCCAGCTGAGTGCTATACTCAGTTTTAAAATTGAGTTTTATATAGGCTGGGTGCAATGGTGTACACCTTTAATCCCAGTACTAGGGAGACAGAGGCATGCGGATCTCTGTGAGTTCAAGGCCAGCCTGGTCTAAATAGTGAGTTCCAGGCCAGCTGGGGCTACAGGGAGACCCTGTCTCAAAAAAAAAAAAAAAAAACTCCCCCTAAAATATTGAGTTTTATGTACCAAGACCATTTTTTTTTTAGCTTTTACAAAACTTTATTGAGAATTTCATACATGCATATAAGGTGTTTTGATCAAATCCATGCCCAATCCTTCCCCACCAACACTCCCCCCTCTGAAGAGGTAACCCTAAAATCTTTTAAGGATTAGA